CACGACGACGACGACGACGACGACGACGGACGACGACGACAACGGACGAACGGACGACGACGACGACGACGACGAGGAGAGCGACGACGACGACGGCGACGACGACGAAACCACCGACGACGACGACGACGACGACCGACGACGACGATCGACGACCGACGTCCGACGACCGACACGTGGCACCCGAGTGGACATCGTCGTCGCGTGCCGTCGTCGCCGCTCATCGTGGTCGTCGTATGCGTTGTCGCGGTCGTCCTTGTCGTCGCCGTCCGTGCGCGTTGACCGAAGTCCGTCGTCGTCGGCCACCGTCGTCGGCCGACGTCGCCGTCCTCGTCGTCGTCTTCGTCTGTCGCCCGGGTCGTCGCCGTCGTGGTCGGCGTCGTCGTGGCGGTCGCGACGGCGGCGAAGATACCGGCGACGACGGTGAAGATAGCGCAGTAAACGACCAAGACGTCGACGAACGTATCGATGCTGATGACGGCGGCGATGACGAGGACGATGGCGATGCTCGCAATGAGAAGAGGAAATGTCACATGCGCGGGGCTCCGCGTAACAACGCGAAATCCACCAGAGGGGCCCAGAACCAATCAGAACCGAGGCCCCCCCTGAGAGGAAGGCCCACGCCATGTCAGCCCGAACTGCTCCATTGCACCCTGCCCAGGAAGTGAGAGGGGGTCAGCCCTGCTCAAAGGCTGCGGGGCTTTCTCGGAAGCTCACCAACCTCCTGAGAAGCTGTCTGTCTTCGGAGAAGGCTCGGAACACTTCTCGCACCCTCTGGCTTCTCCCTGGGCTCGGCGCCGACAGCTAGAGAGTGCTGTCAATATCGTGGGGGAAGCGCGCGCTATCGGGGCGGGGGCAGGGCATACCGTACCCCCCCCCCAGCAGCGTGTCTTAAGCACTGCCACAGCGCGCCCGTGGCGGTCGGAGCATCTATTCGAGCCAACGCATGCTTGGGAGCGCATCGTGCCAGCGAGCACCACATGATGACTCTGAGGATCACAACATACCAGCGAGCATCACAATGTTCCTTCGAACGCCACTGCGTGCTGGTGGCCGCCAGACGCTGAGACAGACACGAAACTCAGCCTGCGAAAAATCACGCTAGGCACAACAGGACGCGAGCGAAAAAACCTGCGAGTACGCCCTACATCTTTTTGAGGGCACCATGCGCTCGCCACAGTAGTCTGCGAGCGCCACGTTCTGCATGCAAACGACACACGCACGTGAGGAACTCGTGGATTTGTGAACACCACACTGCGTGTGCTACGACCAGACGGCGACGGAAGCCAGGGATCGACAACGGTCTGCAACCCCCGCCACATGCGCGCAAGACGAGGCTCCCCCATACAACAACATGCTTCCGACAACCGCAACCTTCGATCACCACCACAGCCTGCAAGCGTCACACTAATACCACATGTATGCACAACAGCATGCCAAAGGCTGCCACGATAGCCTACGACCACCACGGCACGCATGGAAGCACCACGATACGCGTGTGATCACCGCAACGTTCTTGTGGTCACACGGCCTGGGAAACCAGGCCATGCCATCAATAGCCAGCGAGCACCACTCGGCGTACTCACAACACTCCCCCAAGATACGAGTAGCTATCGGCAACGACAGGAGAGCCCAAAATCGAATCGATAAATCGGATCAGCGAGCGAAATGAATTGGACCGGCGGAACTCGGCAGCCGAGTCGGGAGAAGCCAAGTCGGCGGAAATCGGCACGCTGGTAGGCCTTCATTAAGAAATCGGAATCCAAATCGGAATCCGAAGTCGAATCGAATCGGAATCACCATCCATCGACATCGAATCGAACCGAATAGGAGGAGCCGAAAAGAGCCCTGCGACACCGGCTTGGGGCAGGAGGAAAAAGATGATCAAGAGACACAGGAATATATACAGGAATATCATAATTCTGATCAGACTGAAGAAGGAATTCGGGTGTCCTGTCGTACTCAGGCGAATGGGATCGGGGGGAAAGGATGAGGTCGTCGTCGTCCCCGTCGTCGGAAAAAACGTACTTTGCGCAGGCTGCACACATGCACACATGTGATAGCTCTGGGATGCTGCGAATGATGCTTCAGCAACTGAAAAGCTCTGTTATACTGTTCCCTCCCTGCCTGCCATCTCTTCTCATCTCCTCGTCGCCGTCCTCGTCCTCATCCTCCTTTCTGCTTGCACCAAAACTTGACTCTGAGCACCACCATGAGCTCGCAATAGCCAAACAGCGAGTGAAGCCAGACCATGCCAGTGTATCATCATCGTGTGCGATCACCACACGTGTGCGCAACGGCAATCATAACAAACCCTGCCAACGTCACAATGAATTGAACCACGCAAGGTGCCTGAGATTTCCGGCGATAAACCTGCGTGCGCCACACTTGCCCGCGAACGCTCACGTTGACTGTGGGCACCTCGCGCTGTTGCCGCCTGCTGGGTTTGGCCTTTCTCTCCTCTTCTCTCCTCCTTCCTCCCCCAGTCCTTGTCGTCTGCTGCTGCCCGCCGTTTCCCTCGCAACCCCCCTCACCTATCCCTCTCTCTCTCTCTCTTTCCCTCTCCCCTCTCTCTCTCCCTCGTTTTCGTTTCCTGTGTTCTGGTCTTCTCGTCTCGCAATGTGCCTACATACGTCACGATATGATCCTTGCTGCGAGGCCATGGTTCACGGGGACGTTGCGACCACACCCTGCCGCGAGGCCTTGGTGCGCGCGTGCGCTGCGGCTGAGATCGGGGCACACTGCAGTGGGGGTCGGGGGAGGCGTTACGGCTGGGGGAGGGAATCGCACTTCATTCCCCCCCCTGCACAAAAGCATCAAAACTCCTCCTCCTCCTCCTCCTCCTCCTCCTCCTCCTCCTCCGCCTCCTCCTCCTCCTCCTCCTCCCCCTCCTCACAAGCGTCGCAGGTAGTGGTCTCTATCATATTGTCGACTCGCAATCTGATAGTTCTGCTGGCAATTCT